CCTGAGCCACAAAACTTACTGCTGCTACATCTTGTAGCTCTTTAGAATTACTCCTTTCAGAAGTTGTCTGGCAATTAGCCAAATAACTAAAGCAATTGTATTGTATCTTTATTAGTGTAAAATTGATGCAGGTCTTAACAAAATCTATTAACCCTAAAATACTACGAATCTTCTGGAGAGTGGAGAGTGACTGTTGGCTGCCCATTACTATGCATATGTCCTTTTTCATGACCGTGTTGCTCAGTTTTCTGTAGCAGTTTGAAAGCCCAACTAGGGTTAGACTTTGGCTCCTCTGAAGGAGGAAGTCTATGAAGGTCAGAACACGTTGCCAGAAATGCATCACTCTGGTTTTCCATACCAAATGTTTGTTTTCTTTTTGTTGTTAAAGAGAGTCTTGTCCCATGCCCTCCATGCCCTTGATATTAGCCGTTTGGGTAATTTTCTGCTTGACATCATGGGACAGTTACTTTCCATAGAAGCAGTTTCCAGGTGGGGAAGAATATAAGGACCAGATACAAAATTTTCAGATCAGAGTAACACCACATGCACTTAAAATTAAGCTTGTGCTGAAGTAAGTTTTGTGGATGATGTCCTAACTGCAGCTCCCATTTATTTGTTGTAGCTTTTTACCTGAGTAGCACTTCAGACACCTATAAACCCACTAAAGCACAAGGGATTTGTGCTTTAGACAAGGCCGATATCATTGATTGATGTGCAGCATTGAGCCCGAGTGTGGAGAGAGCATTTCTAGGTCAGTGTCCAAGCTATGGGTGTGTTTCTTAATGTGCTGCAATAAGATGCATCTGTTTCTCAACTCTTCTATCAAAAAACCCCACTAGCCATCATTTCCTGCTGTAATATTTATATGCAGTGAAGCTCACAAGCCCAGGTGTCCTTGATAATACGGTACAGTTAAGCAGTTACAGAGTTAGAGTATATATATATATTTTTTTCCTGATTAGTCATTGAAGTAAAATCCACACTTGGATTTAATTTTAAACTGAGCACCTCCTGAATTCAGAGCCACTTAGTGCCCCCCTGTCAAGCCATAATCAGACAAGATCGCTCTGTCCCCCCATCACATAAAATCCTTCAAACAGCCTGTTCTTTTGGGGAGATACAAGTACCTTGACCCTATCTCTCTTGGGACTTATTTCGGGTCTGAACATGGGACTATAAGGCTTCAGGGTACACATAATGCAAAAGACATCAGCCCCTGTAAACTATGACAAATGTAAATGAGTGGTTTGCCGCTCCATAAGGATGACTTACTGGTTTCTCACTAGGATGTGGAGGGGATGGAGCAGTGCTGCCAAGGATTGAAGTCAGGACCAACTGCTCAGTTGACTGATTTTCCTCTTGTTCCTGTTTGAGACTTCTGAAGTTTGACCCTGCCTTGCTACGTACCTTTTGTTATTCTATTCATAGTTGGTAGCATTTGCCCCTGATTTTTATTTTACTTTATGCAGCCAATGATTACCTTGTAACAGTACTGCTGTATTCAGCACTTCAAACTGTAGCTGAGACAAAAAAGTTACTCTAATAGTGAGTACCCAAAAAATGTATAGATGGACCTGCAGCAACATATAGATATTAAACATTAAAGCATTTCCTTTGGCCTCATTTTGCTCTTGGGAGAGGAGTTCGTTGGAAAGCATCCAGTTACACCCTGAACGCTACTTGAACGAGGATTGAAGTTCCCAGGGACTTGACACTAACAGAGTTGCTTTCTAACTTTTTTAATGAGGAAGAATTCCTTTTTCAGCTCTGGTGTAAACAAAAAACAGCTGCAGCAAACGCTCTGTTGGGTAATGGTTAGAGCAGGGGTCTGAGAATGAGGTGTGGCCCCATTAGGGTCAAGGGAAAAACTTCTATTATTTTCAGGATTTGACCCCGTTCTCTTTCCCCCTCCCCAATTCTTGTGCAATCTCTGCTGATGGAAAGTGGCCAAGTCCCAGATTTCCTGCACTTCCGAGCTTCTGTTTGTAAACTCAGGGGGGAAAGATACCTAGCTGGTTTGCACAACACTTGGAGATTTTTAAAATTAAATGATGGGTTTAAACAAATTGTTCTCCTTTGTGATCTGCCCTTAGTTGCAGTCATGGTTTCAGTAGATTCCTCCAGCATCGACTTACGTTTCTAGCATTGATTGGGATACTCTGCAGATAATTATCTAGCAGGTGGCAAAGTCGGAACTAATCCATCAATTGGTTAAATTCCACCTAGTCCAAATAATCCTGTTAGTGGCTGTTTTGCCCTTTCAGCAGTCACTTTAATTAATATTCAGGCTTGTGCAGGCAGTCAGGTTTCTGCCCTGCTGAAGCAGGACTTGATTGTTTTAATTTTAAATTAGAATTAATTTCTAAGGGTCATCTTTGTCCCATGTCAAAAACACAGAACGACCTCTCAAAAACTTGCAATCAGTTCATCACCAGCTCTCTTTCTGCTTTATCTGCTGTGATCATCTTGTCTAGTTTTGTCTCTTCTCTTTGGAATATACTGATGCTTCAAGGACATGTGTGTAAGTAACTTCTGAAATGGATGGGACTCCCCATAAGAAATCAATTCCCATGTATCCGATTGCAACATTAAGCTATAAGCAACAAAGATGGCACTTTCCTATACATTGTAAGCCAGGAACATATTTGCAATGTCATGAAAGCAATTTATAAAGCTGATTGAGAATGCAGGACTTCATGTGGAAACTTCTGAATGAAAAGGTTTTCACCCAGTACTTCAAGAGGATTTTTTTTTCATTTTGTTGCAATGGAGCACAAAACAAAGTGAATATGGATTTTCTACATTTGGTGAAATATCTGCTCAAGTTGAAGAAATCAAGTTGCTCTACTTGATTTCTTCTTGTTTTGGCAGCTTTCTGCTCCCTCAGGCTGGAACAACTCTGTTCTGTTGGGTTTAGTGGCAGAAACTCAGGGAAGAAAAATCTGGAATTACCACTTCAAACTGTTTTTCAGATTAAAAAAAATGAAACCCAGGTTTTCACTTTGCTTTGAAAGTTCACAGTAGGTAAACTACAATGTTTGCTAAAGGTGGCTTCTAGAGAGGTGTTGTTTCTGTCAGGGTTAAGTAACTTTTGACTGACTTAACAGGAAAGCAGAAGGCTTTGAAACAGAATTGAGTTCTTTAGCAGTGATTTAGAGGCTTTTCTAAGGTATGATGTTTCAAAGATGCTGTTTCTTTTAAGAAGATAGTGTTAATCAAATAGATGAGTTGCAATACAAAGAGAAACCTTTACAGGTTGGGCTGGGTAGCTTTGATTCTGAACTTCTCTTGCCTTTGAATTGTTTTTGCAGCAGCCCTGCTAGTGTAAAGTAACACAAGCATAATTGGTTTGGCTGGCAGAATTTTCGGACAGGGAGCTGATGTCCAGTGCACATTGGTACCACGCCACAGTGGCCTGTGTGTTGTCATAAATTTGGTTTTGTTTGTTTTATAACAAAGCATAGAACTGTATTAATCATTTCCTCTTCATCGAATACTTCCAGTCCTTTATTGCCTACCCCCATGGCACAGTTTTGCCCAGTGAAGTGTTCATTGTAGGTTTTATTAGCATTAAGGCCGCATCAATTGACTCTTCTTGGCACGCAGGGTCAAGCAGGCTGCGTCGTGAGTTAAAAGTTCAGCACGGTCAGCAGGCTTCTCGGTCTGTATGTACAGCTAGAGAGGGAGTTGCTTGCTAAGAAGGCTCAGTTGAAGTGTCTGTGCAAAGCACTGGGTGGAATGCTTGCCACAAATCTGTGTCAGCTGATATTTCTTTAAAATCCAATTGTATTAAAAAAAATAAATAAATCACATAGCATTGCAGTAGCGCTGGATGGGAAGAAACCACATGTTGTATCTGTAATTTTGGTGTGTGAATAAATAGTATGGGAACCTGAAAAGATCACATGGAACTTTTGTATTTCTAATACTTTATTCTTAAAATATCTTCTTGCTTTTGCTGTGCCATACAACAGTGTTTACACAGTCTGAGGGAGTGTCTGCATTCTCCGGCTGTTCTCCTGCCGTAAGTGGTGTGCTTTGCTGACCTGTGCACACTCATCCGAAACCTCAGCATGACCCAGTCCCTATTTCTGCTGTAAGAATAGGCACAGCTGAGTTTGTCAAGAGTGGAAGCCCCTGTTGCCTAGGGGGCAACCCTCCTCCTGAAAGAGATGTCAAGATGCAGAATAAATTCAATAGGAATTTTTTTTGGCAGGAAGCAATCTTTTTTTCTTCTGAATTCTTAAACAGTCTGGAAAGAGCAGATCTCGCTTATGGAAATTGCGTGTGCTGACAGCCTCTGCACCTCAGGTAAAGCCTAGAGAAATGTGTGATATTTTTATCAGTGTCAAGTCTTTAGACTATGATTATTTTCCCCCCCCCCCAATGTATCCATTCCCCACATCAAAAATATCACTGCGGAAGAGGAAAGAACACAAGGATCAGAACTAAAAGGCTGAAATTGCCCTGAAATGCCTTTTCCCAGGGCAAGTGCATACACTGATTACACAAACATGGACTGAAATTCATTTCCCGAAGACTGTCCGTCATTCACATATCCAGGTAACCCTCAAATAAGTGGGCTTTACGCCAAGGCTTGCAGATGTGTTTGAGGAGGTAGCCTGTGACTTCATAGACATTTTTTCCTCCACTTATTCTTTTAAGCTCCAGAGCTCCCAGAATAGGGATCAGACTGTTCCCATTCCCAGGAAACAAAATTCAGAAATGCATTTAAATTCTGAGTGCTGCCAACATGCGGGTGATTGAGGTGTAGCAGTGGGTGGTTCTCTCAGCAAACACCTGGTTTCTTTCACTGTGAGCTCTTCTAAATTTTGTCTCAGACTTCCTTCCCCCTCCCTTCTCACCTTCTTCCTCACTGTCCCTACCTCATTGACACAACGTTAATTTCTTCATTTTCTTTCCAATTGCTATTTTTCCTAGGATAGCATTCGCTTGTGCTTAACTGTTGTTTTTGTTGGGGATGGGTTTTGTTTTGGCAGATGTTTATTGAACAAAACAAGATGAAAAGGCAAAGTCAATTGCTTCTGCAAAATTCTGCTCCTGATCAACAGCTTTTGAAGGCTTTGGATGACAATGCTAAGCTAACCCACACGTTAGAGGAAGAGAGGCTTCAACACCAACAAAAGGTAAAACAGAATTACTTTTAATCTCATGCAGAAGTATTTTGAAAGCCTCCTGAGTTTAAGGAGTGTCATGTATTTGTTATGTTCAGAATTATGTGAGGTCGTGTGCACCATAAGAGTTCACAATCTAAAAACTAAATTTCAGAGAAGATAGTGATTCCCTCCTTCTGGGTCACTGGTAAGACATGAGTACAAAACCTGAATGGTTTTCAGCCTGAAGGCTCTGGTTTTGGTGAGTATTTTATTCTGGATGCTAGTAAAGTGCAATTACAAGCATTACTTCAAGTTCCATTAAGTGAAGAAGAGATGACAGAAAAATATTTTGGACGTTGAGTAATATAAAGGGTGTCCTGAGGGGATAAGCTAAGAAGACCAGGAGGTGAGAGAGAGGCAGTTCACATTAGTAGTCTGGTCGCTTGCTAAAGAGATCCATGGGGAAGAGGCAGACGTAGTTGAGCAGGGAAGTGTTAGGTGAACGCTGCAAAGTGGTGTGATAGGGTCTGAAGTGCTAGGTCTAAACAGGTACATTCTTTGAAACTGGACTAGATCAATCTCTAACTGGGAGAAATCACCATTGCTTCACTTGAAAGCCTGAAAAGGCTTTTTTTTCCCTTAGCTGTGAGGCCTGTTCTTAAAACTCTGGTAATAGAGTAATGCTAGGAATAGGTAGACACAGTTCCTGTGCTTTTATCAATGCAGCAATACTAAGACTGTATGTAATTTCATATGCTTCTGAGTGAGTATTTTGGAAGAATAATTGCCAGTTCATAGAAAACCTCTGCATCTTTAACTCCTTGAAGTCTAGAGCAAAATGTATATGTTTAGGGAGCTGGGAAGTGATTGCTACTCTGCACCTGAATGCTGCCTCTAAACCTGATGTTCCATAGTTCACCCACTGGCATCTGCATGAGTTGAGACAAGGGAGTTTAAATAACCAACCTGTCAGTGGAAGCAGTCAGTAAGAGAACAAAAATGTCAATGTTCTCATGCTTCAAATGAAGAAATGTTCTGAAATTAAGTTCTAATTATGTGATAAAAACTCTATAAAAAGAAAGAGGGAACATCTTACAGCTTAAATACTTTGGAGCTAAAGACGTATTTTAAAGAAGAGGTAAAACAAGTTAGGATCACAATAGAAAATTCTGACATCTTGCAGAAAAATCTGTCCAGCTCTCATTCAAAAATTGTCCTCTTTCTAGGACTTGTAGTTCACTCCTATACTGTAACACCATGTTTTCAGGAATGACTGTGCCTAATGGGTCATTTGTCAAAAGGAAGGACAGAAAATACCTTTTATTGTAATGAATGCTGTTATTTGCCAACTGCAGGTGAAAGAATTGGAAGAGCAGCTAGAAAATCAAGCTCTGCATAAGGAGATTAGTCGTCTTAAACAGCAACTAGAACTTTTGGAAGAAGATAAAAAGGAACTAGAGCTTAAGTGTCAGAACGCAGAAGAAAAAGCTAAAGACCTAAAGCATTCAGGTAAAATCATGCAATGACTTTTATTTTAGAGGTACAGTTGGGGGGTGTGTGTGAGTGGTGCATGCCTGATAGAATTACACATTTTACGTTTGAGACCTCAGAAGCAACAGCTTTTGTGTTGCTGAGATCCAGACCTGTGCTTCACAAGACAAAGTGCAGCAAACTGCCTTCAGCCACAGAACAGTCATGTCTGTGTGAAAGAATAACCTCGTAAAACTTCTGTGAGGTAGAAAAATACTGTTCTTAGATTGACGTGAGTCTTACAGGTGGGTATATACATGTGAATGGGTTTCTTTGTGAAAGAGACAATCCTTCGTATTCAGTCAAAATGTATCCTCTTACCTAGTTTTAAAAATAAATAAAATGGGATAATTCTGCTCTTTTTTTTCTTTTTTGCAAAGATGCACAGTGATTTATCAGACTGTGGAGTCTACATTGTATGAATTGTACAAAAATATCCCATAATTATCAAGCTACCCAACCATTTAATAGTCTTGCAATAAAGACATGATTTAGCCCTTCATATTGACATGTGAGAAAACAATTTTTGCTGATGTGAGACAGTCTGGGAGGGTGTTTCTTTTTCTTTTTTTTTTTTTTTTTTTTTTTTTTTTCTTAAAACAGATATTGAAAAGGTAAGTACTGCCTTCAGAGCCCAACAAAGGGAGTTAGCCAAAGAAATCCGGTGAGCTTTTATGGCTCATATGCATGAGAATTATACATCTAAATTTCTTACTTGTAGTCAAATATTTTTGTCCATGTCAAGTGACTGAAAGGAAGGAAACAGCCTTGCTAGCTACTGTGTGTGTCTGTCTCTTAAGATTTAAACTAATGCCCAAAGAATACAGGCATAGAAGACTCACAGAATATTTAGGCGGGAACAGCTGTTGCAGTGCAGAGTTTCGTACAGTTATCGCTGTCAGGATGGTGCCTGGCTTGTCTGCAGCGTCCTACCTACTGACTGAGGAAATTTCTGATCTAATGCTCTTTATTCAAAATTGCTTTTAAAAAGGGCCCGTGGTGTGTGTGGTCTCCCTATAGGGAATGTGGGGTTATGGCTGGTTAAGTACTTACACGTGCCTTTACTTACAGTCCTTCTTCAGCTCAAGGCCTAAGCAGGCGCTAGAGAAGCATCTGAGCCCCCGTCAGAGGAGGCCGAAGTCCCTATCCTTACCTAAGACTCCACGTATAGCCACGCTTTTCTGAAACATGTCCTTAAGAGCAGAATTGTCTTTAAGCTTGTTAGCAGTCTTGCTTGGAAGAACTACTTGGTGTTAGAGTTTTACATTACCCAGCATTAAAATAGGCCTAGGCAGTATATGAGCTCTTCTCAGCTGCCCTGGAAAAGATCTAACTCTCACAGTGGATTCTTTCCTTACAGGCTTATTTGTCCTTCAGAAGAAATTTATCAGTATTAAGATTGTACCTGAAATTTAAAGTCACTCAGTTGATTTTTTTTTTTTTTCATTTTTAAATTTAAAGAAAATGTTAAAGATTGTAATTTTACTTTGAATCTACTATTATGAGAAGAAAGAACCATGTCCACTTTGGAAATCATGTTCTGTACTTCTGCCGTAATTCCTACTGTTTTCAGAACAACTGTTAAGAAGTTTTGTAACTAAAAGAAATTTAAGACTTCTTTTTCTGTTTCTGCCCTTCCTCAGTTAATTGCATTTGAAAACATTTCAAGTGCAGAGAAGTAATTTCCATATTTTAGATCTGACATGAAAACAAGACAGGAAGAATCCATTCTGCCCACCACCCAGTTTTGGCCATTTTTATGGGGAAAACCCACAGAGATAAGTCTGCAAGCTGAAATTGTTAATTTATTTCATCTCATTAGTTCATTCTCAAATGCAACCTCAAACAGACCATCGCAGGAATGTGATAAACTTTTCCCTGCTCTATCATTTTATGTGAAGGATCCTGTATAAGGGAGGGTGTAATTTTTAGTTTTGAAAGTAACTCAGGTTGGAGATAACTTGTTTAATGAGAATCCTGTACATCTAGGACATTGTTCTTGGTAGGAAATATTGCCAAAAATCAAACTTCTAGCAGTTGTGTGGTTTAGCCTTGTTGTTTGTTTTTTAGTTAATCAGTAGCTTTTTTACTTAAACCATCAGAGGTTTTTTTAGAGCAGATGTGAGAAACCAAGAACTCACTCTAGTTTGTTTTATTGCTCTTGCGCAGTTGATGAACTTCAAAAACGAATACAGCAGTCTGAAAATCCTGTACCGCCTCCTCCACCGCCACCCCCTCCTCCTCTTCCTCCTCCCCCTCCTCCTAACCCTATACGGTAAGTGCTTAAATCAAGGGTCACAGCATTAATGCTTTGCTGAAGCAGAATACATTACACGAACTTGCATCCAAGCAGGAAGAGGGTCTTTGAAGAAAAAAAGGCTTTCTCCATCTGTCTTGGGCTCTTTACTGGCAGGACATGCTCTGTGCCCCGCCTGCCAACAGACGAACACCCTGACCAATTTTGAACAGTGCCTGCCTGCCAAGCCTAATGAATTATCTAGAGTGTGACTTTGGAGGAGGAGGGATACCTGTCTCCTCTAAATTTAGGAGATTATTTTTTTTCTATTCACCTTGTAGCTGTAATTATAGACTTGTGCAATGCTTGTCTGAATCTACTGCTAAGAAAACCCCTTTGAACCAAAGGATATGTTGGGTTAATGTGTGTCCCTTCCTGTCGGCTACTGGCGGTGAAAATGCAGACTCTGTTGAGTTCCCACAATTACTTTCATAAGTTAAAAAGAAAAAAACAAAACAGAAAATCACCACCATGCGGTGGCTCACCAGTTTTAGGCGGAATTATCAAAATTAAGCCATATTTTTGCAAAGGACTGTAAAAGAGGCTGACCAATATATGATGTATCAGGCATTAGACCTGAATTAATTAACTAAGACCTAAAGTGTGCTTAGTTAATTTTAGGAACTTCATGTTGTCTGCTTGGTTTTAAAAATAAATGGACTTTGACACTTTCTAACCTTCTGTAATAGAAATTACATACAGAAGTCTTCTTAACTACCGTGTTAGATATATGAATAGAGATGATTAGTAGGGAGAACTCATCCCTTTGTGCATCTTGCTTTGTTTTTAAAACTCTAAACATGTTTTGAGCAATTGTGTTTGGTCTTTTGCTCCTTTTATGCCCGATGACTCATTTGGCTTGCTTGCTTCTTTCCCACTAATGTGTAGCATGAATTAACTGTGTAGGGGTGTTGTGGGGGTTTTGTTTTGTTTAAGTTTGTGCCCTTTACTATTTAGAATAGATAACACTATTCATTTTAAGCCCTGTAGTAGCTAAGTCAGACTATTTCCTTCATGCACGGTGATGTTCATGTGTGTAGAGGTTGTCTCAGAGCCTAGGCACTGGATGCTGCTTTTTTCTGGGACAGAGTTTTGACCCTTTGTGTCAGGGAGGTCATTCTACTCTGTAAGGAGCAATGTTCGGTAGGGAGTGATCATCAGATGTGCATAGGAGCTTATACTTGGGTTTTGAGATGAAGCGTTTCCTTGTCTGGACTTATACATTTTGACTATAGTGCAGGAATAATTATTTGATACTGTAAGAAGATTACAGACTTGGGGTTGGTGAGAAGATACTGGTCTCTGTATTTAAGTGTCCTCTGGAGAATAATACTTCAGTATCTACAGCTCTTCCTTCCTTTTATTATGCCAGAGCAGCTTCAATTTGTCATGTGTCACAACGAGACACTGTCTTTTAATATTCAAATTTTGGAGTGTTTTGATTTGTGCCTAATGTCTGTTAAAAATAAATAAATTTCTCTGGTGCATTTTGGTGGGAGGCATTGTGGGGGGTAATTCAATACATACATCTGCATAATCAAGTATAAGCAAGATGCTTGTGTGTCATGTTCAAGTTCATTCTAACAGTGTGTAATACAGGACAGAATGACAATCTGCAGTTTCATTTTCCCCAAAGGTCTCTCATGTCAATGATTCGCAAGAGATCTCACTCCAACACCAATGTGAGCAAGAAGGAGAAACCTCCTCAGCAGGAGCCAGGTATGGCTCATCCTTTCTCAAGTCATGCGGATTATTCACTAGGTACTGCAGATAAAGCTAGTGAAAATGAACTGTGGGTACAGATAGTGAAGCAAATGCTCATAACTGTCAATATTAACAACTGCTACCCATGTCCCAGCATATTCATATACCTTGCAGTCCAGAAATGTGATTACAGCCCAGTCATACGTGCTCTGAGATAGGAAATGGTGTCTTTGGCATTGTAGCTTTGGTACTGCAAGCTTCCTCGAGATTCCTAGCAAATTTGTGTAGCCCTTGTAGCCATCTGTGTCCCCACAACTGAGCTGGTGATCAGCATCCAGTTTATTTTTTCCAAATGGATTTTAGTATGAACAATCTTTGAGGCTGCAGATCAAAAACCTTAAAGGAAGACCCAGCACTTGCTCGAACTCAAAAAAAGGTTCTTATCTTCCTACTTCTGGCTCTCACGCTTATCAGAGATGTCACTGAGCTGATTTCATTCACTGATGTAGCAGAAAAATTTACCTTTTTTTTTTTTTTTTTTTTTCCACTTGGGGAGAGGGTGGTAACATTTCGTAGAGGCTCACAGAAGGACATGACAAGATAAACTCTTAGCTGAGCATGCTGATGTGCTGGGTGAGATGGATGGGGAGAATGGGATGGTTTAATTTAGGGCCCATGCTGTTACACTGACTCTGTGCAGCTTGTTGAGTTGCACCTTAGCAGTTTGGAACTGCCTGTAGTAGCTGCACTGTAGCAGCTTTGAGAGGCTCAACCTATGCCTCTACGCTGGAGACACTACAGCAGGTAGGTGCAGCTACAGTATGTCCAGGGCTTTGCACTTCCACAGGTTATCTGGAAGAGGCAGAACAAACCTAACAAGCATTAAGCTGAGAACAGGTTATGTGCAGGGTAATACAGGGAAGTTTCCAACTTCCAAATGGCTTCTTGTTTGTGATTTCTTCCATCCAGAGCCTCTCTGCAGAGCTGGTTTGTTAAATGCTTCAGTTTTCATCCCTCAATTCATATCTTATGAAATTACCACTCAGAGTTGACTGTTAATGTTAATCCTTTAATAATACTGGAAACCTAAAACAAAACAGAGTCTTGCACTAAGGTGGCTCTGCATGCAAAGTAACAGCTGAAATTGCATTTTATTGTTGTTAAAGAAGCTGGAAACTTAGGTTGAGAGCAGGACTTAAGTACAGATTTACAAATGATCATGAGTGCCTGAAGAGTCAGAGCTAGTTAGACAAGTGTTGCCAGCTAAATAACCAAGGTTTTCCTCGGTGTTTCTCTCTTCCTTCTAAAACAGCAGGAGTTTGTTTGCAGTGAATTGCTAAACTCAGTTGCTGCCACTCTAAACAAAGAAGGCGACTGCAGAAGGGAACCTGGCTGAAATTATAGGTATAGGATATAACTGCTAAAGAAAAAATTGCTGCTAGCAGACTGTAATGGTATGTAGGCATAGCTGCATTGTGGGATGGGGCCAACAGGCAGAAAGTGGGGGAAGGAAAGAAGAAAGTATTACCTCTCCCATTTTTCAGGTGAGGAACTGAGGAATGGGGTGACTTGGGCAGGTCCCTGGGGGAATCTTTGGGAACTGGTTACCAGTCTGAGAGAAATAAGGTTGTTGGTCTGGGTAAAATAGAGAAGTGACCTTGTACCGAGATCTCTGATGAAGAGTCCATCTTATCTTTCAGTAAAAGTTCAATTATGTTGCCTTCACTTACCAAGTTTCCTTACCTTGAAGCATCCTAGATGTTTTGATTACACCTTTTTGTTGAGACTGTTACAAACAGTGATTGCAGGAAATACTATGAAATTCACTATAAGTTCTCTACACCCCATTCTTTCATTAGTTATTAGCAAACTTTAACAGTTCTGACCTTTCTTCAATCACATATAAACTGCTTCTTCTCTTAATAGTTGAGCTGTTCTTAAAATAAAAATAAAAAAGGGGGAAAGTTCTTTCTTGATCTAGTTATTATATCTAACTTGAGGCTTGTTTTGACCCTTGTTAAGGACTTAGAATGAGTGGTTTCTATCCCATACCACCAATTAAGCTTTTCTATTTGAAACAGCCTGTTTGTGAAATTAAAGCCTGACATTAAATCAGCTTACAATACAGAAACTGCATTTCTATGAATCATCAATAGTACCCTGACAAGTGAGAGAGCAAAAGTCTATTTAAAATTCCTGTTATATAAGGTACAACATTGCAGCTTTGAATAGTGTCAACCGTATTTCTCCATGTATGTGCTTTAAGTAGTCTTTTTTTTTCCCCTTTTTGGTATAGCACGTTAAGTGTCTTTTGTTACATTATCCAGAACACTGATAAGTTAACAGGTATTGTTTAGGTTCATCACACAGCTTCCCGTTTCATCTGAATATTTTGCAGTCCTGATACTGAATCTCTTGAAAATCAGCAGGTTCCTGTCACGGTATTTTGAGTTTTGCCCCTTAACTCGATCCAGTATTCTTTAATGGCGTGGTTTTAATTTGGTCTGAGATGTTGGTGTCTCATTCCAGCAAGGTTCTTAAACCCCTATGAAATAGGAGACATGTTTGGTTGCATATAGGCCTCACCATGGGGCATTATCAACTTGGCCTGTGTCAGTGAAGCTGGGGAAATTTCTGCTGAAGCACAGTGAAGAGACACAGTGGAAGCAGGGCCATATTCTTCAGTCCTTGGTGCTTCAGCACTGAGCGTTGGCAATTCCCAAACAGGAGCTTTGCATTTTTCAGGGTCTGGGCCCTGCTTCTGTCCAAACTTCTGTAGAAGTGGTTTGGCGTTTGCAAAATCCACTGCTGATCCTCAGTGTGTGTAGGTTGGCATTTTATCCTTGAAGAGCTTGTGACAGTTTAGCTGATAGCAAAGATCACTAGAAGTGCTGAATCCAGAAACTAGAATTCCTGATAACTAGAGATGAGGTTGCTGGTTTCTGCTACCATGTAGACAGTGGGAACACCTTTTAGATGTACGTAGTGTAAGGTAAAGTGCCTCTTTCTGGTGGGGAAAATTAAGAGTAAGACCGTGTGAGCAGCCCACTTAGGAGGAGAAAAATAAGCCTATATATTTATGCTTATCTTTACATTTTTAGTAAAACTGAGTAAAAGCATGGGTTTGGATAGTACATGAGCCATACACATCACCCATACAGGCAGGAAGAACTGCTGCAGGGAGTATAACTAAGTTCATTGTATGTGCAAATGCCATTTCATCATTAAAACTAATTTATGATTATGGTAACTGGCTATATATGGCAAGCAAGCTGTTTAGGAGGCTGTTTAACATGGTTTTCTCTTTGGACCATTTCTCTGTAGTTCGTATCTGGAATGTCATATGCTCTTTGATTTTTGGAACAGGTGAAGAAGTTACGGATCTGAAGAGGCAAGCTGTTGAAGAAATGATGGACAGAATTAAAAAGGGAGTTCATCTGAGACCAGTCAACCAATCAAGCAGACCTAAAACAAAGGTTTGGAATAAATAGCAGAGCAATAATATTAGCTAAGTACAGTAATTTACACTGAAAATAAATCAGGCTTTCTGTAAAACATTCAAAAGAATACATTTGCCTCACTCACCTCATTTACTTTGCTTGATTTTGAATAAAATGAATTAGAGCAGCATATATCTGAAGAACAGAAGAAGAAGTGAAGGCAACAGTAAGTAAATTAGAAGCCCAGTTTCTTTCACACAGAATGGACTGAAACAAACAGCTACTGTGAAACTAAAAGCACAGAGGGAATAACTGAATTGGGTAAAGGGGGTGATCAAGAAGTAGACTGTATTTAGCAGTATTTCTTCCTTTTATGCAACACTTAGCACTAATACATGAATGTGCCTACTATAAAATAATTGCTTACTATCTTCACAAAAGCGTAATCTTTCTTTATGTATAGGCTGTGATTCACTGAGTTTCGAGCTAAGACTCTTCCCTTCATCTATGTAAGAAAATATATTGAACGTTAGCCATGTGCCCAAGAGAGGGGAGAGCAGAGGAACATAACACAACCGCATGCCTGCACAGTAGACCCTTGTGCAACTGGGTCTGTCATGGTCCATTTCATGTGTTTTTTAACATGCATGTGTTGTGTTTGTTTACAGCCAGAAACACCAAAGCCCTCTGAAAGTGCAATGAAAGAATTAAAAGGGATTCTGGTAAGAAAACTTGTAGTTTGTGTTTCAGTTATTTCTTCTCACTGAGCTGACAGGGCCTCCTGTGCAAAATAGCCGAGTATTTGAAAGTTCCACATTAGCGTTTTGGTTTGAAGCTGTAGAGCAGTTTTGGAGTGAATCCCCCAATTCCACTTTTGACTTTGGCCCGACTGAAAGAGTGGTTTGGGTCTTGCTAACAGAATTTATTTTGGAGAAAACTGGGCTGTTAACTCTGCTCTGGATTTGTATGTTCCTGCCACTAGAGGCGCTGTTATGGTCTGCACCTGCCATAGAACCTTTGGAAACTGTCCAAGTGCCCACAGTGGGGCTGCTTGGGGAGGGAGAGGCAGCTGAATACATCTAGTTCAAAGTAAAGCCCCTGAACTGCACGTACAGTAGATGTAGGGATCTGAACTACTGCTCTCTCCTGAGGCACCAAATTTCTTGTTAGCATAGACATAGCCTAAATAGAGCAAGAGGTCTCTATTCTGTCTACATTTATATGTAGAAAAATTGATTCTGAATAGCTGTCCACATACTTATTACCACTAAATAAAAACATTAGGCTTAACGTGTTTGGTCCTGTTCAGTGCAATGTGCTATTTGCTGCTGGCCTGTCCTTTACTCATATATCGCATTGCTTTTTTAACTGGTTGTTTCTTTTGCACAAGTGCTAAAGTTGTATCAAACAGTCAGAAGGAGCTGTAGTTCTTGCTCCCTGACTTCTGTAACCCTGAAGCTTTTGGCACATCAGGTGAAATTTTGCCTTTGTAAGGTGAAATACTGTGAAATTCTGCCCATGTCAAAGCAAAATGCTTCACATCCACTCCACAGAAGGTAAGGCTAATAATTCTAATCATCCATGATAGCAGCTAAACAGCCTTTATAAAAATAACTTCCAGTATTGTGTTGGGTGATGCCAGACAGCACAGCAAAGAGTGTAGCCACATCCTGTGCTGTGATTTAAAATCATGAGTGTGGCACCAATAACATGTTAACTTGCTGTTCCCCAGTCACATGAAAGCAGGGGAAGAAGGGAAGAAATGATTTAGCGAGCCCCCAGACCTTAATGACGAGCTCTAATTAGAGGGACACATAATTAAATGTGGAGGTAAATAGAAAAGGAATAATATGCAACATGGGGATTGTTTTAAATGGAACTCTGTAAGTATGTGAATAGTTTGATATGGTGTTTTTTTTCTTTCGTTTTCTAATAGCTGTTTTATTTCTTTGATACTGTATCACTGACATCAGGGGAGACTTGATTATGTACTTCAGAAGGAGCAGAAAGAAACCTACAGTCACTGTACTTCTGTATCTAGCTTGTTGCTTTTGAGCCCTTCAGGATATTTGTAGTGTAAGACAAACTACATAAAATCCAATTCCAGTCTATTCTTGAGACCAATCATTATGCACAGTCAGACAACAAACATGGGGGTGGGATGTGATGGAGTAAACATTTGTTGTTACTATGCTAATTATGCATTTCATGTAGACCTCCATATAATTGTTACAAACAAAACGCATTTATGTTCTGTAAATTGCAGAGTTTGAGTGACTCCGTTGCTCAAGTTGCTTTCGTACATGTATGTTTGTAGAGATCTGGAGCATATTAGTCGTTAATAATGTACCCGCTCAGTTAAATTTCAAATAGTTGCCAAAGAAAATATTTTAACTTTTGGGTGGGAGGTGAAGAATTAGAGTTACTTTGCTGGGATCCTGAAAGCAGCGCAGCTTTTGCAACTTGTGATGCCATTTCCTTTTGTCATCTTCTGTTTCTGACCAGAAGTTACGTGCTTGTCAACAAAAGATGTTAAAAATATGTTACTTATGCTCTGGAAAAATGCCATATGAATCTGAACATGTTTTGGAAGGCTGAATAAACAGGATTCCTGAGGGTTCCTAAAGATGGCAAGACTCAGAGGGAGAATGAAATAGCACATGGGTCCCAAATTTTCAGGCACATTATAAACATTTTGGGGATATTTTACAGTCAAGGGGGTGCTGATCCAGTAACTGACTCCTATCAGTTGGGAAATGCATGCAGTATGCGCTATGTGCATGTTAAAATTCCTGTGGGAAACTTCGGGAGGTTTCAGGCTTCGATTAAAGCCTCCCCTTCCCCCCCCGCCACCTTTAAGAAATGTGCTGCTGGACTTGCAGCTTCACTGATACCAAATACTAACCTTGGCATAAGGTAGTAATAGCATGCATTTCTATTTTGTCTCTTTCAACTGGAGATCTGTGCATAAGAGAAACCATGAAGTATGTGGACATAGGGTCAGGTTTATGGTGGATCAGCTAGATTGTAGGAGTTGTATCCTACTAACTGCTGCAGCTAGTGCATACCAACTTCTGCAGATACAGGATGCAGCAACACAGGACCATGCTAAAATATAGAACGTGCTGGAGCAATCAAATACGGGTCTTTGACTTTTTGCTAATAGAGGTTAATCATGAGCATGGTATTGCTCTAGCAGTTTTCATAGAATCATAGAATAGTTTGGGTTGGAAGGGACCTTTAAAGGTCACCTGGTCCAACCTCACTGCAATGGGCAGAGACACCCTTAACTGGATCAGGTTGCTCAGAGCCCTGTCCAGCCTGAGCTTGAATGTGTCCACCTCTCTGGGCAACCTGTGCCAGCGTTTCACCACCCTCATTGTAAAGCATTTCTTCCTTATATCTAATCTGAACCTACCGTCTTTTAGTTTAAAACCATTACCCCTTGTCCTATCACAACAGGCCTTGCTGAAAAATTTGTCCCCATCTTTCTCATCAGCCCCCTTTAAGTACGGAAAGGCCACAATAAGGTCTTCCCGAAACCTGCTCTTCCCCAGGCTGAACAACCCCAACTCTCTCAGTCTGGCCTCACAGGAGAGGTGCTCCAGCTCTCAGATCAATTTTTGTGGCCTCCTCTGGACCCACTCCAACAGGTCCATGTCTGTCCTGTGCTGAGGACCCCTAAGCTGGATGCAGGGCTGCAGGTGGGGGTCTCACCAGAGCAGAGCAGAGGGGTAGAATTCCTTACCTTGACCTGCTGGCCACACTGCTTTTGATGCAGCCTAGGATATAGTTGGCCTTCTGGGCTGTGAGTGCACATTTTTGGCTTGTGTCCAGCTTTTCATCCACCAGTACACCCAGGTCCTTCTCCACAGGGCTGCTCTCAGTCCTTTCATCCCTCAGCCTGTACTGATACCAGTGGTTGCCCCGACCCAGGTGCACTTGGCCTTGTTGAACCTCATGAGGTTCACATGGGCCCACCTCTTGAGCTTGCTGAGGTCCCTCTGGATGGCATCTCGTCCCTCAGGCATGTCAACCACACCATGAAGCTTGGTGTCATCTGCAAACTTGTTGAGGGTGCGCTCGATCCCACTGTCTGTGTCATTGATGAGTATATTAAACAGTACTGGTCCCAGTACAGACCCCTGAGGGACACCACTTGTCACTGATCTCCATCTGGACATTGAGGTGCTGACCCAGGATGCAACCATCCAACCAATTCGTCATCCGCCATACAATCCACTCATCAAATCCGTATCTCCCCAATTTAGAGAGAAGGATGTTGTGGGGGACCATGTCAAAGGCCTTACAGAAGTCCAGATAGACGACATCCATAGCTCTTCCCTTGTCCACTGATGTGGACACTCCATCACAGAGGGCCACTAGGTTGGGCAGGCAGGACTTGCCCTTGGTGAAGCCATGCTGGCTATCTTGAATTACCTCCCTGGCCTTCACGTGCCTTAGCATAGGAGGATCTGTTCCATGATGTTCCCAGGCACAGAGGTGAGGCTGACAGATTGGTAGTTCCCAGGGTCCTCTTTTCTACCCTTTTTAAAAATGGGCACAATGTTTCCCTTTTTCCAGTCACCAGGGACTTCACCTGACTGCCATGACTTTTCAAATATCATGAAGAGGGGTTTGGCAGCTACAGCGGCCAATTCCCTCAGGACTCTGGGATGCATCTTGTCAGGTCCCATAGACTTATGTGTGTTCAGGTCCCTCAGGTGGTCATGAACCTGATCTTCTCTTACAGTGGGAGGGACTTTGCTCTCGCAGTCCCCTTGTGGTCTGTCCACTCAAGAGGTGGGGGAAGAGAGGTTGCTGGTGAAGACTGAGGTAAACAAGTTGTTGAGCACCTCAGCCTTCTCCTCGTCCATTGTTAGCAGTTTGCCAGTCTTGCTCATTTGGGGGGAACACTTCCTTTGACCTATGTTTTCTGGCTGACATACCTGTAGAAGCCCTTACTATTCTTTGCATCCCTTGATGGGTTCAGCTCTAGCTATACCTTGGCCTTCCTGATCCCATCCCTACACAATCAGGGAACATCTCTATACCCTTCCCAGGGTACCTGTCCATGCTTCTACTGCCTGTGCAGTTCCTTTGTGCCCTGTAGTTTGACCAGCAGGTCTTGACTCAGCCATGCCAGTCTCTTGCCTTCTTTTCCTGATTTCTTACACCTGGGTATTGAGAGATCTTGTGCTCTGTGGAAAGCGTCCCTAAGGATCTGCCAGCTCTGTTCTCCTTCCTTGGCCGAGAGGCCAGTTTCCCAGGGGGTCCCATTGACTAACTGCTTGAAGAACTGGAATTTTGCTTTCCTAAAATTCAGGGTCCTGACTTTACTCTTCACCTGACCCATATCCCTCAGGACTGCAAACTCCACCAGTGCATGACCACTGCAGCCCAGGCTGCCTCCGGTCTTGACATCACCGATTAGCTCACTTGTGTTGGTGACCAACAGGTCCCGTATCGTATCTCCTCTGGTAGGGCTGTCTACTACCTACCTTAAGAAGTTATCCTCAGTGCACTCCAGGAGTCTCCTGGTTTGCATACAGCTTGCCTTGCTACTTTTCCAGCAGACATTGGGGTGGTTGCAGTCCCCCAGCAGGACGAGAGCCTGTGAGCACAATGTAGCTGGAGTAAGAAGGTTTTGTCAGGAGGTTCCCTGTGATCGGGCAGCCCGTAGTGGACGCCAACCACAAGGTTCCCTTTGCTGATTCGGTCTCTGATTATTACCCATAAGCTTTCAACCTGCTTGTGGCTATTCTTCAGAGGCAGCTCTTCACAATCCATCCATCTCTTGAGATGGATGAGGTTTTTTAAGATCCTTTAAATGTTAAGTTGGAGGAAGTTGGTGATTCCCTGCAAACATCAGAGTTTGTTCGTTAGTGATCCAGAATATCTTTCTTAACCCTGGTATCAACCCTCTAATGTGGAGGTAAGTATGGTTAATGCCTACATTGGGAAATCCAAGTAAGGGGAGAAGTGGTGAGCCAAGCCCCAGATGCTCTCTCCTGTACTAAAGGGAGAGCTTCACACCCTGGTTTAGAACCACAGTTGCTTTTCTGCAGTTGAAAAGGTTCTCACACTGTGCATATGGGATATTTGGTAAGGCATAGTATGTCCTCAGAGAGCTTCTCATGCCTGTTTCTTGCTGTAGGAAACGCTGAACAAATCCACTAGTTCCCGAAGCTTGAAGTCCCTTGAAACAGACAGCAGCGAAACAGAGCTGGAACGAGTTCTGCGACGCCGGAAAGTGACCACTGACCAGGACAGTGGCAGTAAGTGGCTTGACTCCTAATGTAGTCCTCCTCTCCCTGCATTAAGTGACTCTTGAAGCTTTACTTTCTCTTCCAGACCATTGCCATTTCAGCCATTATGGAGAACTCTGCTTACTTCTACAGTGGCTCACTTTCCCGTCGCACTTGTCGCTTTTCATCCCCATTTTCTCCAAGAGATGCCCCTGTCAGGATTTTCTGCGCTCACAGCCATATATACACAGGTTCCTCTGTCCTGCCTGGAGCTCAGTCATTATTATTGGGGTTTATAGTCTGAGCCTACTGTGAAAATACTTTTGAAAATAATGGTAACCAGAGAAATGAGGGTTTAGGACTAATGTTTTCACTTAACCTCTTCTGCAGAGCAAGGCTCTGCAGTTTTTAAGCTATGCTTTACTATTGTCATCTGTAAGAAACTGTTGACGTTCTGCCTGTTAGAAACACAGTCAGTGCAAGTCTAAGTCCATGCCATAGTCGATGCAGATGTGGCTGGTTTTAATGTTACTGTATGGTTTTAGCTTGGGCTTTGTAGATAGACAGTTCACTGGCTACTCACTACTGTGAGAACAGGCTTTTTTGTCATTGGGCTGGCTCTCGCTCCAGCTGCCCTTCAAGCTGGAAGAGCACTGGCAAGTTGTGACATGGTGGTGCTGTGTGGGCAGCAGGACTTACCATCCCAGAAGGCAAGGGATTGAGTGCACAACCATGTCAATGTAGCAAGGCCTGCTGGTGGTACAAGAAAGGGTTAATCTTGGCGGGGAGAGCAGAAGCTGCAAATTCATTATTTGGATACTCTCCATGCACTGGACGCTGTTTGTTAAAAATTCCATTTTGATGCCTGCAGTTAGCTTGAGTTCTGCTGTGTGAATGTGTTGTTTCTAGACCAGTCAAGCCGGATAACAGAATCATTAAACTTTCTTTGGGTTTTAGGTCCCACTGGAACCTTGGCCACATCAGAATCAAAATCTCTGCCTGTGCTAGGTTCGGGAGCCAGTGCCGCACAAACAGCGTTGAACAAGAAAGACCTGGAGACAGAATTCAGTTCCAAAGCACCTGACTCAGGTCCCGACTCTAACCAGCCTAGGGGTGTCACGGGCTCCAAGCCTACGTTACAGTAAGTAGAGTATGGATTTCTAGATGTATTTTAGTACCAGATCTGTTTACCTGTGCATTTTGAAAGTGTTTTAGTATCAATTTTGGTTAACAGGGTGAATGTACAGTCTGCAGCTGTTTACCACTCATTACCTCAAATAATCTGCGGTCCTGCGTGGAGGTAGAAATCGAATTCTCTGTGATAAAGTTATTTTTCTGTAAAATCTGTGAACATTGTTCGAAAAAAAAATTCATCTTCTCTGCCAAAAAAAATAAGTCAAGAGTTTCTGAGGAATAGCAAGGTTGAGGGTTTTTTCCATATCCTGAAGAGAAGAAGGATGATAGTTATATAGTTAACTCTTGATTTAAAAAAAAAGGTAGTTCTAGCACAGTATTTAAAAAAACAGATTCTAAGGTAAGTCATATTGGTCTGTATGCAGGGGTGCAGGGCAGTTTCTGCTGGAGCAAAACAAGTCCTGACTATTGCTCTTAAATGTTTGTTGGTAAAAATTCTGAATTACCTTGAAGTCTCAAGATGAAGATTCTTCAAAAAAAAAAAAAAATACAGTTAGTGCTGCATTTGCACAGAAGGGCAGAAGAATCTTTCGTCACAACAGATTGGGGACCCAAGGTGCCCGTTAAGCATCAAAGAGTTTTATATCTGCCTCAGAAATATTTATTTCAGACAGGTCCTGTGGAGGATTGGTTTGTTTTACAATACCAAGCTCCTTTTGAAATTAGGCTATGCACTTGCTTCAGTTCCCTTGCCAGGTTGTTTGTCAGTTTGTCACTTCAAGAGAAGAAAATGGATGAGACAAATCAGATCAGCAGAATATTGTAATGATGGCTAATTAAACCTCTGATTTCCTGCTCCATCAGTTAAAAAATACCACCAGTACCAATTCTAGCAAGTCTTCTTTGCTTGGTTCAAAGGAGTAAGTCACGACAAATGAGCTGGAAATCCAGTTCGCATCTATTTTTATGAACTGATATTTACTTTGCTCTGCTGCAGGTACTTTTATCATTTGTTTTTGAATGGATGAAGAGCCCGATTTCCTTTTATGCTCTGCAGTTTTATTTAATTCTTACTGAGTTTTAAAAGCAGAATGCCTGTTCCAATCATATGTATTTTCCCCTTTTATTTCATTTAAGTGTGCTTAGAAGAAGGATAATCTTCATTCTCATTTAATTAGAAAGATGAAGATTTGTTCAGCGGTTAGTTTGACATGAATAATGCCATTGCATTTTCCTGAACTGCTACCCTGACAGAAAGGTGAGGTTGTTCCTGAAAAATACTGTGTTTGTAGTTTGTGGATTTCTACAATTTTGAACAGATAACCTTAATCAGAAAATACAGCAACTCCTACCACCTTTTGTCTACCTTTATTCCACCAAACTAAGTGGAAATTGCATTTACAAGAAAGGAAATGAAATAATTGCAGGCCCCAAGGTCTCGGAGAATGCCTGGTGAATTGACAGTGAAAAGGATCTTGTGTTGACAGTCACAGTTGTTATGTGTTATAAAAGCATATGTGAAGCTCAATTTATTTCTCAGCTTGCCTATTCAGTGACATCCTAAAAGACACATTTCACTTCAATTTATCTGTTTAAAGCATTAAAACAAATGCGGTGGGCCAGATTCCTCAGTGCTGCAGGGCTTCTTTGCGCCGAGTCACTGGTGTAAACCTGCTTAATGGGAAAGGCTCATCGTTGAGGGTGGTTTTCCAGTGAGAGAGGAGGTGCTAGGGTTCTCGTACTCTTCTGCCGCTGGGCTGGCAGGGAGGAGCAGAAATAACCTAGATGCTGCGTACCGTGTTGAAGTGCAATTACTTTTCTTTATTCTCCCGGGCACTGTTTGCAGCAAAGGTTAGTAGGAGCAGCCTCCGGACTCGAAGACATCAGAAGGAAGTTCATTTGTTTAACATGACAACTTGGCTCTGTAATTAGGCAGTTCTCTGGGCTTCCCTGGGTACAGCTATACTAGCAGTTTAGTTTGGATCAGCAGAGCAATTCTGAAGCAAATCTCCCGGTTGCCCCCATTTGCTATGCTTCAGTTTGCACCCAGAGTGGTCTTCATGCATAAACTGGATCCCTGGATTCATTGGATAGGAGAAACTAAACCAGAAGATGTGATCCAGCCTTTAATGGCTGGCCCGGGGGCGACGTGAGGGGTAGCTCAGTGAATAACCCCCTGAACGCTGTGTCGCGAGGACATGGGTCTGAGGCACAGGCTGTTCCCCTCTGCACGCCTGCTCCCTTGCGCCACGCTCTTTCCTGAAGTAGACCCTGTTAACTAAACAAACAGTAGGCTGCTTTGACCAGATACCCTAAATGACAAAGGCATACAAAAGATTCATTGTGGCTCCTCTTCTCATTCATACCTGAGGTAAAAGCATGCAGCTGTCTCATCATTTGCAATTGCAATTCCTTGAAATCTGACAGCGGTGTGACCTGCTTCAACTGCGCGCAGCAGCCAAGCAAACCTTTTACAGTGCAGTGGAGGATCGCAAGTCTCATAATTACCAGGTGTCTCTTGCAGTGCAGTGTTTATTTTTTTTTCTTCACCTAGATTTTAATGTAGAAAACCTTAGGAAGAGTTGTGCATGAGGTATTTCTCTTTGCCGCACCATCCATTTACTAAGGTTTGTAATCTGAAGGAGGAGGTAATACTTAGAGATATTTAAATGCGAACAGCCTATTCATCGTTCTTTATTCACGTTGAGTAACAGTTGAGCACGCGGGTTCTCATGGAGAAAGAAGGTCACGCCTTTGAAAAAGACCCAGTCTTGAAAATGTATCTGTGAACAATACGTAAACAGAAGTCGGCTCATTGAGTAAAATCCTGGATCCTCCCCGCCCCCAAGTCAGCGGCAATCTAACCTAAATACGCACGGGGTAAGGGATTTCAGTCTTTGGCTGAAGTAGGACTCGTAATGTGGTTACTCCTGCGGTTAAGTGTTAGCAAAGCACTGGCCTCGGGCTGAATCAGCCGGGCTGCTCCTGTGAGTTGCCAAAGGAGGGATTGTGGAAAAGGGCTGCAACATCAGCAAACACAGGTTGATTCTGAAATTTCCCTGTAATCAGCCTAAGTGATGATAGCTCAGAGGAATTAATTCGGAAGAAAAATTTGGGTTTCGAACCACTAGGTGAGGTGTTATTTCTGTTAGAAGATGGGTCCGAAGCCATTAAGGGGATGATTTGGAATGTGTGAAGTTCCACTGAGGTGGTGCTGAGGGGGAAAGACATCAATGATGTGTGTCCTAGAGAGAAATTGAGGCCTTACCTCAGTATTCAGATAACTTCCTCTGCAAATCTCTTCCCAAACGTTTAACCCAGCGTGAGTGTAATTCTGTGACAATTGCTCAGAAGAGAATAGGTGACAATTTAGTTCCCCTGGGAGCGAGGAGAGTTCCCGTGACTCCCTGCGGTGCGCAGACACAGAAGGGAAAGGTGTGTCTGGCTCTGCCCCTGGGTTTGGGGGGCTTTTTTTTTTTCCCCCAGCACTTTGTAAACATTTTGTTTCTGGGCAGCAGAGTTCGCTGACAGAGTGAACCACAGAGAGGGTTAGTCTTAATCTGATGATTTTATACAATTAAAGGATTTGTCCTCCTTCTCCTGGCTGTAATCTTAGTACCCCTGAATCATCTACCAGCTCTGCGGGAAGCGGCTCAGCCTCAGCTAGGCAGAACTGCAAAGGTTTTCCAGTGCAGCTTGAACATGGGCAATTTAGTTTGAACAACAAATGAAGAAAGCAATGGGATGTGCTGGAAGTTTGAGGTCTCCTCCATTTTGGCTGTTTTAAAAGCTACTGTCACGCATTTTTCTTAGACTGCACTTTTTGTGCACTCTCTCAGTGCAGGTAGAAGCTCTCCAAGATTCTTCATTTAAATGAATTTGCCCATCTTCTTGAGCATTTTCAAAAAAGCACATAGAAATGTGAACAATTTCCTATGGCTGGATCCAGCACGCTAAAGGTGTCCGCAGGTCCCTTCCTCTCGCTGCTGTGCCGACCACCTTTCTCCCTGAGCGGCCTGCTCCTGGCATGGAGGTTTCTTGCGTGTCCCTCACAGGCGTCCTGTGCTGCCAGGGGCAGAGGAGGGAACCCGCAGACCCATTCACCAGTGTCACTCTTTGTATTCCCTGTAATTTCCTTTTGACAATTACTGTACCGTGATGGAACTTCGTACTCGTTGAAGACTTTCAGGACTTGGAATTGGTGTGGTTTTTTACAGTTGTTCAGTATTAGCCTTTGGTCCTGTCTGTTGTATTCCCCCCGCCTTGTTAAAAAATCTGAAATATTTAATAAACACATGTAGGGCTTTTATTCTCAGTCAAGGTTTTTGGCTGAGGATAAAATTGAGTCACCTCCTGCGGTCTGGCACGCAACAGACCGACCGCAGCGGCACTCGGCCGAGCTGAGGCCGCTCTCCTGTGCGGGCTGACGCCACGGGCTGCTTGGTCCTGGGCAGAGGCCGGACAGCAGAGCTGCTGTTATCTGCAAACCCGCCGAGTGTGCTCGTTTGGAAAGGGCACATGGAGCGGAGTATGAACTTGGTGGCACGAGTGATGCTTGTCCTCAGTTACGGGGTCTCGCAGGAAACCAGGAATGCTGGGGTCAGGGCGGGCGGTAGTTAGGCAAATGGGAAGCAGTAATCGGTGTGCAGGCATGGGTTTTAGGCGTTACAAAGAAGCAACTGGTGGTGAACAACTGCCAGATTAGCTTAATGCTTCCAGTCTCATCTTTTGGGGAGTAAGGAATAGCACCGGTGGAGTTTTATTTTGGGTTTGAAAGCAATTTTGCTTTGAAGAGAGATGACAGCTATTTCAGTGTCCTACATTAGGGAGCTTGCTGGAAGACAAAGTATACTAATTTGATGCCACGTTAAGTGTTGGCTTTTGTAGCAGAAATGACTTCATTCATACCGGCTCAGACTCCAGGCCAAGTATCTCCATGGCGTCTTCCACGCTTACACTATGTACTTGCAAACCCAGGCTTTGCAGGAATAGATTTTTGTCGGTATTTTCTCAATATGCTGTAAAACCCATGGATTTTCCTACAGCGTTTCCCTTGATTGGTTTCCTTTAGCCTTCTGCTTTTACATGTTGTTAGGAAATTGGATGGGACTTAATCCAGTAAAATTTTCCATGATGTTTCATAAAATTCTGGTTTCTAATGGAAACATATTACAGTGATTTCATGAACAGAGCACCGAGCAAGGTTAAATAATACCAAGGTTATAATATTAACCAGGGGAAACAAAGAAAATCCCAGTCTCAGTTGACACTCCGATCCTTAGTTTGTCCTTTTCTACTCCTGCTGTAAATTATTTACAGAGGGCACAGCAGCACGAGTTCGCAGACGGCCCGTCAGGCATAACCCTTTATTTTTACATCTTCTGTAGCTTCTGTAACTGTATGAATGGAATTTATTGCTTTTCCTACTCTCATATCACAAGCAGTCCCTCTTGGTACTGCATGGGACTTTGCATATCCCATACAATTAATCTAAAATGCATTTATCATCTAAATCTGGATTTCACAGTACAGATTTTATGTGCTTAGTCAGAAAAATATATGCAGACTTATGAACAATTATGTATGAGTGAGTACAATAGAACTAGCTTCTCAATTTCTGGCTTAAATACATAGTTGGACAAATAACAAGAATACTGATAACGACATTAACTATCCTAATGAAGGAAGAGCCTTGCCTAGAGCTAAATGCAAATACCTTGGCTGGACAAATTTGTAATTGTTCAAAACTGCGGCTAACTATCCCTGTACTAATTGCTTTTCCCAGCTTTGTTTGTAGCAGCAAAACCTGTTTTTTGAAAGGGAGCACCAAAATTATGTTCATTCTTGCGCTGAAACTTTATTATGCCTGCATTCTGCTCTTGACAAACTATTGAAAGCGAGCTATGAATACCTGATAAATAGGGTTAATAATTTTTCACAATACCGCGGCTGTAACAGCAGCACCGTCAGGCTGGCGCTGCAACAGTGTAAAGGATTTGAAGAAGGGAATGCTAGCACAACGAAGTCTGAATAGTAATTCTTATTTTTATGCTTGAAACGCTGATTTAATCACTGGTTTTCTCCATTAAACTACTTTATATCGACATCTTTCATTTTTCTGTCCTTTGAAGGTGGTAAATATGATTGCCGTTTTATCCATTTTTGTTATAAATGAAACAGACTTCAGAGCGTTTGGCTGTGCATCAGTTGTTGGAATGCTGCCATACACTAATGCAGACTCCCCACTGTGAGCCCAGTGAAGAATTATACTTTGATTCACCAGATTGTATTAAATAGTCCAGCTGTTGGGATTTGAAAGATAGTTACCTCCAAAGTGAAATAAAAATGAACTTGGCATTTATGGCTTTGACCATTTTTATAGTGTTGGGCAATCAGCTTTTCAGAGGTAGCACTTTTTAAAATAACCCTCTTCTGGTTACGCTGCTTTAAAAAGTTTAATTTGCTGTAACATTCAAAATACCCCACCTCGTCTTTTCTGGAACGATTGGCAACTTTTGCATAAAATACGCATTATTTGCCTTATGAAATCACTAGCTGCTGATGATAAGCAAATGAGTCTGAAACTGTATCTATTAGCGCCAATTTCTGCATTAATTAACTTATACCGAAGTTCTAATGTTAGAGACAATTCTTGTAATTAAAGCTTGAACATGGAATTCCGTTTGCTACATCCAGTGCTTCAGCGGCAAGCTGAGTAAATTCTTCCTGAAATGGGAAGTGCAACAACTGTTGTTTCTGTCATTACTTGTTTTTAACCTGTACATTTACTCCCTCCCCCTCAGGTGGGAGCCAGTACATTCTCCGCCCCGTGCTCTAATTGTTGAGTGGGGTGACCTCTTTTTTCTTTGTCATTTTCTCTAGGACAAAGACTGTCACAATAAAGGGCAGTTCATAGCAGATGGATCCAGTGGCTGAATTTCTTTCTCTGGCCTCCAGCTGATTCTACTTTTTCCTTTCAAAGGTGTTATCTTAGCAGTATGGAAGGCCGTTCCTTATGAGTAAGCATGAAAAAATTGAATAAAGAATAAAAGGAAACTGGCTCTGGACTAGCAATTGCAGTCGTGTTGGGCAGCTCTGCAGTTAGGCTTCCCGGGACGGCGGAGCCACGGGTGTGTGTGGGACCCTCCTGCACTACGGATTTTGCTCCCGTCCGGTTTGGTGGGAGAGCCCCCCCAGCACGCCCGGTTGCGCTCCCTCGGGCGCAGGGGTCCCAGGGGCTCGGGCGGGCTGGGAGGAGGAGGCGCAAGGCCGTGCCCGGACCGCAGCGTTCAGGCGGCGTAGGGAGCGCCTCGGTCGGCGACTTGCTCGGGTCGTGCCTTCCCGGTGTTTGCCTCGTGCTCCGCTGGTGCATTCTAGCTAACCTAAGGATTTGCCTGCTCGTTTTCAACACCAGTACAAAGCTTTTGAATATAGACAAGTGCTTTTAGAGTTTATAGCATGGCGCCAGCCTCGACAAATGACCTTTCCTTCCTCTCTCCCTGCTCAGAGGGCTTTTTATCTGCAAGAATCCCTGCGCTGCAAGCAATCAAGACGTAACCCCGTTTCTACAGGTCTAACGCCCTCTGCATTTCAGCAAATCCAGTAGGTCAGAAGTGTTCAGAAATCACTTGCCCTTGCTCCCAGCTAGACCACTGGCAGCCTGTTGGTGCCGAGCCACGGCAGAAAATTTGGTTACGCTGCCTCTACCTTGCTGTTGCAGGGGAAAGCCCTGTGTGAGCTGGCTGGGGTGCGGGTGCGGAGAAGCCACCACGTTCTCCTCCCAGGCTGCAGGACTGCCAGCCCACAGGCAGCTGGAACGAGCGGCGTCTCCTCTGGGTGCAATGGGGGGAGCCGAAATCCAGCTCCCAGAGGAGCAGAGGGAAAATAAATTCTCAAGACTTTAAACTGGTTCTTTCATAGTCTAAGGATATTTTTCAGCGCTTCATAAGTTTGTTTTCCGTGTTAAATATCTTCCGTTTCTAGCTTGCCAAGTGATTCAGGAGAGGTAACGTCACCACCGCGTTTCGTGAATCACTGTCTGCGTGTAACAGCTGTAAATCTACAAATCCATTCAGTAGACCTGTCCTGGTCGTATGTGCTACTAATGATACAAATGATTTTCTGTATATTGATATACTTTCTCCTAAGTATGTGCATATATTTATTCTTTTTCCTTTAGATCAACTAGTCATCCAGAATTTACAAGAAAAGCTTCTAGCAGTGAAAAAGAGACAGAATCCATTGTAGTTTTAGATCCTGTTTCCACCAGCGGGGATCAGTCGTCTGAAAACACGCTGAATCAGAACAAAATGAAGGAAGAAAAAAGGAAGCCGCTGCATAAAGAAACTAACGCTGAGAAAATAAAAGAAACAGACAGTTCTAACTGTTAGTTGTTGTTCTGAAAGGCTGTAGCTTTTGGGAATCGTTAGCCGGACATGTAAATTGCTTAGGTGTGTTACTAGGGGCTGCGGTCCGCACTCCAAACGGTTTTCAATAATATGGATTGAAATGGTCTTTTGTATGCGGTTTTGTTACATGCATTAAAGTGTTAATTAACTATGTATCTCTCAAAATCCCTTTCCCATTTTAATTTCACAGGTATGGTTAATATTTTCTTAGCTATTGTCAGTTGCCTTTTCTTTAAAACTGTACTTGAAAGGGCTTTTTTAATGACTCTTCTCAAGAAGGTACCTGGTTAAGGTCCATTCTGAAGCTTGCCAGAAGCCCCTTGTGTCCCTCTTGAACTGGACAGGTTTGGGTTAGACCCCACGAAGGTGATGACACACGCATCAGCTTTAGAATGGGGGGTATTACTTAATAATTAAAAAATTAATTGCTTGAAAAGTATTTTGGTATCTACTTTAACCAAGACCTTGTAGGTCTCCGTACTGCTGTCTCCACACACGCTCCGTTGAGGAAGTTAAAAGCACAAGCGTGGCATCTGGGTTCAGGTTCCTCAGCGGACAGCTAGCCCAAAGGGCGGAAAGGCAGTGCAGCGCCTCAGTTTGGTACCAAGACTTTTGGTAACGACAGCCAAGGTCAGAAGTTTGTGGGTTGAGAGTGGTGCTCTCTTTTGGAAGAAAAGCTTTGCGGAGGAGGACTTAGCTCGACTTAGCTCCTGGTTTTGGTTTCAGTGTTAACATAGCAAAGCTCAGAACTGCTGCAACCGCAGCCTCTATTTGCTGCTGCAAAAGGGTAAGTTATCCAAGGCTCCCGTGGGTCTGGAGCACTTTTGGGATTCAGTCATTCTAGGACTGCAAGTTATTTGGAATCAACATTTTGAGAACTCCCAGGTGAAACCTCGCAGCACTAACAAATAAGGCTTTGCTTGCAACCTGGTCTGGGCTGGTGGCATTGATTTCTTTATTAGATAACACTTTAGATACCCGAATGTGAGGACACAAACCCCAGTTTCCCTCGGCCCCTGTTTCCCATGAGGACAGTGAGATGGGTACGTCACTGATTCGCCCCGCTGCCAGTTCACATTCCATTGCAGTCCCTGCTTCAATTCAGCACAGGATCTCTTTTATAATGAATGAACAAATGTGATCAGGGATTTACCTAAAGATCGGTGTAACTGAAATCGGGTGGTTAAGTACTTGAATGCACTTGGATTATTTTTTATTTAATGATTCAAAACAGTGATCGTATTGAAGGATGAATGTTCCGAGTTCGTTGGTTTGGCTCTGCATGCAACTGTCTGGTGCTTTTCCTAAAAATAAAATGATAGTAACGAGTGTGGTAGTTTCACATCTTTTTTGGTGTTTTTTGCATGTTTGCGAAGAAAATCCTGATCTAATTACTGAACTACATATAATTCCTAAACTTGGGGAAATTTGTCTCTCACCGATATCTTCCGGGGAGGGGAGGGGGCAGTTGGTTCCAATGGATAATTTGTCACTTAGGTATCTGTTACATTGGATTTAAAATGCAACATTTTATATATGTATTTTTCCTCCAATTACTGCTGCTGTATTATATGTTCAAATTTTCCAATTATACAAAACCCAGATGTTTTTTAAGAAGTCTTTCTTTTACTGAAACTGTTTGTTACCTAGGACATAAATTATTTTATCCTTTCACTGTTGCTTATTAAAAAGACTCCTGACAAGTTTCCCAGACCTTGTGAAATTGCCTGGTTATTCCCTGCCTCCGACGGAAACAAGCTTCCTGGTGATGCCAATTACAGCCGTGTGCCCTACACTGGGGGTCTGCCCCGATGCCCTGGGGTTGCTAGCTAGCTAGAACTGGAGCGAAATTTCCCTCGTAGGCTGGATCTAAGGGCAGCATTGAGGGTGGGTGGGGGGATGGAGCAGCGTAACAGTCAAGGCCTTTGTTTTTTGTAAAATGTTGGGTTCTTTTTTTTTTTTTACTGTTTATCAATAGCTCGCTCTTTGTATGGAGAGAGATTTCGACTTTCCCAAAACAAACATTTAGTTTTGGGCTTAACACAGAGGTATTTGTTTCAGCCATTTGTAAATACAGCACACAATTTTGTGGTGTTTTCAAACTATAGCCGCTGCCCAGTTAACTTGGTTTCAGCTGAAGGCAATGGTCTCCTGGGAAAAGAGGAGCTCGTCTCTGAACGCTTCTAAAAATGTTTAGCTGAAGTGCTTGAAAATAAATGGGTTAAGGAATAGTTAGTAGAGGAGTTTCTTACTAGAATGGGGTATTTTTTAGAAATTTATCCAAAAGTCAATGTCGACAGCCTAGGTCGCTGTGCTGTTCTCTGGGAGCTGAGCAGGCAGGCTGTGAACCTGCAGGTCTGACTGGGTGCGCTGTGGAGGCAACGAGGCCAGCTCCGGGGGAGGAACCACATCAGGAAGTTCTTTTTCTGGCATTGATTCTTCAGCAAAAGCCATAAATTCAAGATTCGCTTCACCTGAAATAGAAGAGAAAAATAGAAACTCATGTTTGCTGTAAGACGGTTTCTTGTAACGTTCTCTGGTGTGCTCAGATTTTTTTTAAAGCAGGAGGTGATGCCTACAGGAGCCTCTGAACACCCTTGACAGTCTGGTCCTTGGAAGGAAAGGAGCAGCAGCCCTGTGCTGTGCTGTCAGAGTTGGGGCACGGCGCGCAGCAGCCTGAGCTGGGATGTTCACTGCATTCCCTTCTTCGCTGACCATCTCCCCTTGCTGCCCTATTTTTGAGCACCACACCCACCTCCCTGGGCACTGGCGCTCTCGCAGAAGGTCCCTCAGCTGAGCATGCCTCTTCTCTACCCCAGCCTCGAACAGCTTGCTGTAAGCCCGTACTCAGATGTTGCTCCTGCAACTCACACTTCGCCTCTCTTCTCGCTGCTATTTTTCCCCATTCTGTGACTCTCCTCCTTCCCTAACCTCAGCACCCAGTTCCCCATTTTGCCACATACACAGCGCCCACCCCATCGCTGAATGTGTCCCAGCTGTGTAGGTTTCCAGCAAAGGCGTGGCCACTCCGATTCAGCTTGCCAAGCGGTTCGCATGCGCCTTCCAGGGGCTAAACACGGCGCAAGGGGCAAGGCGGCAGGCGAGCCGCGGGCGCCGGTTGTTTCGGTGCTCCCGGGCCAGGCCACGTGCCCCATTTGGCCACTGCTGGGGGACTCCTGACGGGCCAGTATCACCTCCCACCTCAGAGCCACCGAGAGAGTCCTCGGCCTCTCAGCTCTCCGGTGTATTCCATAGCTGGCAGCCCCGCCAAATGAAGAGTTTGGTATGCAGCTCAGACACACCGTCTCAATATTTCCCTGCTGTTGATTTAGTTACTGGATTTTATTTCTGCCAAACGATTAACGGCTTCGGGAATTGTTGCTATTTTGTTTTATGATGTGTAGGTTTAAATATTTGTCAGACTCGAGCTCTTTGTTTAGACTATGCCATTTGAATAGGGAACATATTAATGTTGCCGAGGCAGTTCAAGTTCAGAGCCCTTTACAATCATCTGTCCTGTTTTTGAAAAATGCATTCTGCGAAACTCCTGTCTTAGCAAAAAAGCATCTCTGCCTATGTTTCTATTTTTTACAATGATTACACACGAGCAAGGGGGAGATTTCAAAAATTGAGAATATTTCCAGTAAATTTTTTTTTAAAATAAAAACTTTGTTCTGTAGCGTGCGTGTCAAGTGCTGCTATCCCATCTATAGAAGACTGTAAATGATTAGAAACAAGAGGGTAAAATGACTTAATTCTCCTTAATTTTTCTTTTGCCTAGGCATAATAAATTCTTGCAAACCCTTTCCTTCCTTTCTTCCCCTCCTTGTCTCTCTGCCTCCCCTTCAGACTGTATGCCTTTATTCTGTCTTGATTGATACCTGAACAAGTGAGAAGTGGTTCTAATGAACTGTTAAGCATTTAACAGTGTAGAGTATAGGGTAAAAAGAAGATGCAGATCCTGAAATGCGGGCAGATGCATACAAGTGGCTACGGCTGAATGTGCGTAGTCAACTTGGGGTTTTCTTGGGTTTTATTTAGTGCTTACCCATGCAATTGTAGCTTTCCAAACACATTTTTGCTGGAAATGTAACACACAAAAGGGGGTTGTGAAATGAAGTTTTGTTAGCAATATATGTTTAGGGGCTTGAGGGAGGTGGGGTATTTGGGCTAAAATTCCGTTTTGGCAGCTTTTTGGCGTGTTATATGCATGGGTTTTGTTTTGTTCCTTTTGCACTGTGGGCTTCAAGACTCCAACCAATTAATTCTGGAAAAAAAAGCTTAATGTAGGCTACTCCTCAAGAAGGGGTCTATTTTAACATTCAGTAAACAGATAATCCATTAGGACAACAATATACATTGTGGCAAGTGCTATCCTAGGTTTTTTTTTGTCAGCGCTTATTTATAGTCTTTTGATTTCGCTTCCCTCCCGTGGTGCAGTTTCAATCATTCTCCCTCCAATCTTTGTTCTCGTATTCATTGCAAGCTGAAAACAAAGTAAGAAAGAAGCTCATACGTAGCGTTCTATTCTTGGCCAGTTCTTCCTCTATAGCAAGAAGGCGGTTGTATTTGGTCACCCTTTCTCCGCGGGAAAGACCTCCCAACTTGACAAACCTGGCACCCAGTCCAACAGCCTTAAACGAGAAAGTGCGTATTTTAAAACTACACGGATCGGGAAGTGAAGTCATTCTTAATTATTAAACATGGTATCCTACTTCTAATTTAAGACTCTCTACAGCTAAACCCCCCTCCTTTAAATAGAAACAAAATCTCTTAGTGAAAGATTTGTCGGATGCAAACAATAATTTTCACTGGCATATGAACTGAAATTTTATTTGCAAATGTAGCTTTAATACAAAAAGACTAAATACATTAGCGTTAAGCATTTTTGCCTAAAATATTATTACTACTCGGAAATGTTTTAAGTAACTCACATTTTTTTTTTTAATAAACTAGTGCAACCAAATAGATCATACACACTT